TATTTGAACAACATCATGGTTGGAAGGATCACTGGAGGGTGCAGTGTGAATCTTCGATGAGGAAGGGGTTTCATCTTCAAGATGTTCCACCGAGTGAAGATTAACATCATCCGGCACATGATCACTAGGAGTGCATGTTGCATCTTCTCCGTTTGGATATGGAAAAGGAAATAAGTCCATCAAATGCTCCCCCTGTCTAGAGTAATCCAGTGATTGTGAGAAGTAAGGAACATGTTCTTCAAATTTAACATCCCTTGAAACAACCATTTTTCTAGTTGTTGAATTATAGCACTTGTAACCTTTTTGGGTAGATGAATAACCTAGAAAGACACATTTGGCAGCCCTTGGGTCTAGCTTGTCACGATTATGAGCTTGAATGTGAACAAAGCATGTACACCCAAAGACTCTCAAATGGGAAAAGTTGATCTTTCTATTTTTCAAGACCTCATAAGGTGATTTAAAATTCAATACTTTACTAGGCAATCTATTGATGAGATATGCCGCAGTAAGAACTCCTTAAGACCAAAACTTCTTAGGCACATTCATGTGAAACATAAGAGCTTTAGTATTCTCAAGTAGATCTCTATTCTTCCTCTCGGCCACCCCATTTTGTTGAGGTGTTCCAACACAACTTGTTTGGTGTAATATACCATGCGTGCTCAAGTAGTGCGACATGTTATGAGACATATATTCTGTGCCGTTATCTGATCATAAAATATGAATTTTTGAAGCAAATTGGGTGGCCACAAGTCTATGAAAATCTTGAAAAACTTCCATCACTTCACTTTTAAATTTCAAAAGATACAACCAAGTAATCCTTGTGAAATCGTCCACAAAAGTTACAAAATATTTGTATCCATCAAAAGACTCTAGAATTGGTCCCCAAACATCGGAATGCACGATTTCAAAAGGATTACTAGCCCTAGACAAAGAGGAAGTAAATGGTAATCTAGTAAACTTAGAAAAATGACAAACATCACAAGGACTTGTAACTTTGCACATGTTTGGGAACAAGGTGGATAAAACTTTTTCAGAAGGATGTGCTAGACGTTGGTGCCAAAGTTGTTGTTCTTGAGCTAAGCTTGAAGTGACTTGAAAAACCTTGGGAACTTGAATATGCTTGGAAAGATAGTAGAGACCATTTAAGAAAAATCCTTCACCAATCGTCTTCTTGGTGACTACATCCTGAAAGATCACATTTTTAGGAGAGAAAATGGCAAGACAATTTAATGAGTTTGTGATCTTGCCAACAGATAAAAGTTGAAAAGGGAATGAGGGAACATAAAGAGCCTCGGACTCGACATCACTTGAGATCAAATGTATTTTTCCTTTTCCCACAACCATAGCATTTTTTCCATTGGCAACTAACATTTGAGATGGAATAGAAAAATTTTCAAATTTATGCAAGTTTGTAGACTTGTTAGTCATATGATCAGTGGCTCCAGAATCTACAATCCAATAATCAGGCACATTACCAATGTTGAGAGCAGTTGAGAATGAGTGTAAGATACCTGGGATGTCCCTTTGTACCATGCCTTCATTTCCAGCCAGGAAGCCAGCAAACTGTCCTAGTAGTGCAGTTTGATTATTGTCACATTGATTTAGTGGTCATTCACTATCTCCAAGACCTTGTTTCTTATGAAGAAACATAGCAAACTCGTTGATCAGTGCAACTAGATTAGTTGTGAACTTCAGTGCTCCCTCAGAAGAAGTTGTGGCAACATGATTTGCCTTGTAAGAAGGGTGGTACGAGCCTTTCGAGACACCTTTGTTATCCCTAGGAAACTTTGGTTTTAACTCTGGATGAAGAATCCAGCATCGGTCTCTTGAGTGCCCACCAGCATCAAAATGGCTACATTTTAAGCCAGTTTTCTTTCCTTTGTAGCCTCTCTCCTCACCAAGTTTTTGGTTAGAGAAGTAAGCCCTAGCTTCTGGTATATTTGCCTTTATGTCCAAGGTTATGACTTTCCTTCGAACCTTTTCTCTTTGAATTATGGCACACACACTTGAAAAAGAAGGCAGGTCAGGATTCATGAGGATATGGCTTCGAAGATCTTCGAATTCAGGGCTCAGGCTTGCTAGGAGTTGGAATATTTTGTCTTCCTCGGCTCTCTTAGTTAGCACAGCAGCGTCGATGGTGTGTGGTCGATACACATTCAGCTCGTTCCACATAGTGGTCAGCTTTCCAAGATGTTGCACAAATGGCTTCCCTTCCTGTTGCAAACCAGCAATGTCCTTCTTTAACTGAAACATACAAGCTGCATTGTTCTGATTTCCATACATTTCCTTGAGATTTTTCCAAATAGTCATGGAGGATTCAACATAGCTAAAATTTTTTGCAATCTTACGATCCATGGAATTGAGTAGCCATGACATGACCAACTGGTCTTTGCATAGCCAAGCATCATACTCTAGTGAGGTAGTCTCAGGCATTGGAATAGCACTATTAACATAACCAAGCTTTGATCGTCCTCCCAGAGCAAGAGAAACTGCTCTCTCCCATGGAAGATAGTTAAACTCATTTAGCAAGACAGAACTAAGATGTTGATTTGGGTTGATATCAATATCTGAGTGTGGTGATGGTGGAGTAGCATGAAAGCCGTCTCCTTCCAAATTTACTGAGCTTTCTTCAGCCATGATTGAAGGACAAGAAGAAGCTCACAAATCTCTCAAGAGAACACCACAGAAACAGGCCGGTTAGGGTCACGCTCTGATACCATATTGAATTTTGTGAATGGTATATTCATCATAAGACAATCACGTACAAGAGATAGCAAATATATATGTGCTAGAGGGAAGAAAACAAGACTACCTATCCCTCATTGATTTACGTCTATAGCTAACAAAAAAGAAAAAACAAATAAGACACATCCCTTGAATTAAGGGAATTGACAACAAGACAAATAAGACACTTCCCTTGAATTAAGGGAATTGACAACAAGAGACACATCCCTTGAATTAAGGGAATTGACAACACTATCTATCACCCTAAATCCTTTGTACAGTGAACATGCAACCTAACCTAACCCTAGTTGCCATTCTTTCTTCCAATAAGAGCCCTTGCCAACATCTCAAAATCTTTGTCTAAAGAGCATCCTCCTTGTATTCAATCCTGCTTATCCAGGGCTTGCTTCTCCACTTCTTATGAACGTGTCCAAGTAAATATTTCTTTTCCCATTTTATTAGGTTTTTTTTAATATCTTTTTGGCATCTTGGGTTAATCTATCAATGATTCGATGTTAGTCGAACCCTAGACAACCCAGTGAATATTGGACTAAGAACATGCTAGCGAACAAGTTATAAGAGGAACAACCTTTTGTATCTTAATTCGCCTCTCCTTTTGGATATAAGTGTGCTAGAAAAGGCATAAATATATTAAGGCACCTACTTTTTAGGATACGCGCTCGAGAAAATTTATGTATGCCTCCAGTTCTGTTGTAATTAGAGTAGTATTATTATGCGAAACATATAGAGAATAAAAATTATCCTTATAGCTGTGCTTATTTTTTATTTTTTCTCCCATGAAATAGGACCCAAGAAATAGGCCACCGACAGAGGCAGGCAGGCATGGAGCAACGACCGGAGGAAGAGAAAGTGATACCAGGATTGATGACATGAGCGTTACAAGATTTGTAGCAGACACAGCAAGACAAGGCGCTGCAAAAACGGCTGATGTCGCGGAGGACCTGGTTAACTTGGCCAAGGGAGACAAATAATGTTGCATGGGATTCTGCCAAGAACACTACCCGGAAGGTCACCGACACTTTGGTTGCTGAGGCTGATGAGAACGTCGTTGATACAGCTGAGTATAGAACTATTGAAGATCTGAGTACGTTCGCAGATCAGAATGACCACCATCAGAAAGAAGGATCACATTTGATCAGGGATGAGAATGTAATATGAGACTTGATAAATAGGGCTTTTAATTATTCCCAGACTTTGTTGACTCTGTGCAACTTCCTCACAAATCGAGGGGAAATCGTATGTTGAATCTTATCTTTTCTTATTTATTAGTATAGAAAAGGGTATAAAGAGAAGATGTAGATATAAATTGTAATTTTGGGTGCAAGTGTACATATATATATATGTTAGATGTATGTTTAACATCCACTTGCGACTTTGGAAATATACTCGATCTATTTACAGTTTGAATCAGTAATTATGACATCAACTAACCTAACGCTAAATCAAAATCAATATCAATTTGAGGTAGATTATTCTACTTACACAATTTGGACACATGAAGAATACAACTTCAATTGTAGAAATGTAAGTAAGCTTATGTATTTCCTCATAAAATGCGATCATGTAAACAATTGGGGTTATTTAAATTATTAGGGTTATTGGGCAAGGTTTTCTTAGAGGCTCTCTGACGTGTGATGTAATTCAAGTTTAATTTACGTGGAAGTACGTAGGTGGTTTTATGGTAGAGTCTCAATTTTTTTCATGGTATCATAGCAGGTAGTTCTACGTGTGGCGCTCCACGTCACCTCGTTGTGCTAACGGCTTGAAAATTCGTCACACGTAAGTGGGCGTGTTGAGAATGAGTCTCACATTGATGAGAGAAGGGACCTTGCATGAACTTATAAGAGGTTGAGCTACTCCTTATATTGCCAATTAGTTTTATAGTAAAATCTAAACTTTCTTCACTGTTGGGCTCAACACGTGAATATTATAAGTAAGACTTTATTTTTCATACGATTTTTTTTTTATGACAAATGATATGATTATCTATTGAATAGATTTTACTTAAAAGAGAGATTCAACCACGAAATCTCGAGTACAAAGACAGATACTCTTGACCTATTAGTCATTGCTGTTCTGTACGATTCATTACTCTCTTTTTTGTCAATACGATTCATTGCTCTCAACTTTAATGAAATTATGTCTTGCTTATTATATTAAAGGCATGCCTACAATATAATCATAGCTTGTCTCCCCTCTCACTTTGCCATTGTTTAAAGGTACGCTCCTAGATCACCATTGTTGCTAATTTCTATGTTTTCTTCTCCTACGTTCGGTAAGGTTCACACCGCGCATATGCTTGTTTTATCCTTCTCAAGCATCTGATGCAAATATGTATGAAAATGTGAGAACCATATTTAGTTGATTGCTTAAAGTGATACATTGATTTCTGAATGTGATACTAATTTTACATCACATACTCTTTTTTCGGATCCAGAAAGAAGCCATATCTACTTCACATTGTTCTCAGTCAAACACTAACGAAATGCGCATGGAATGGTGTTTCCAGCAGGAAAGATCAAACTTTTGTGGAACTTGTATAAGGTCTCAGAAATATTTTGTATAACTTCTAATTTTGTATGATATTAGTGTTGTGTGGTGTTTACTTTGTCAAACTATACATCTTAAATGATTTTGTTTTTCATTTATTTGTTTTATAGCAACATATGAGAAGGAGTTGAGATAACTCAAAGCTGAACGGAAATCAAGTCGAAATGAGCAGTGTGGCAGGGTGAACTTGCTCATCTTTAAACCCTAAGAGTACAATTTGATGAGTTTTGGATATTTCTTTTTTGTTTCTGTTTTTTTCTCGATTGGGATTTTTGTAACAAATTCATAATTAGGCATGTGTATGATCTGTTTCTTTTAAGTTGTGGTTTTTTCTTCCTCGTTCTTTTTGACAGGAAATTTCTTTGCTCTGTTATTCGTGGCACCACGGTAATGCACCAGACGATTTGATATGACTTTAATATCTGTTTTTCCATTAAATTGTCTGTCGTTTCTCTCATTATTTCATTGAAATTTCGCACTAACCGATAGAAATGATGAGAATGTATGCATTAGATGATTTCATTGTATGAACAGATGAGTATCAACAGAATCCTTTCTTTGGTTACTTTATCCGTTTTGAAACTGCATTAATAAACTCTTGTTGGTATTGCCTTCTTATTGTGGTTTTCTTCCTTATTTTTACAGGAAATGCAACACTTCTTTGCTACAACGTGTGCTCTCATGTGGGTTTCGATACCATTTCCTTTTTCTGATAAATTGGCTACGTTGTCACCCTTTTTTAATTGGGTTATGATATTAAGAGATTTGTTTTTCGTGTTTTATAAGAAATTTGTAGATGTTATGGTGGATGATAACTATGTAGTTTTATATCATACAATGTGAATTGTCTTTGAGGATTTTATTTATGTTTCTTGCATCATGTGACCCTAAAATTGCAAACAAAGATGAAAGAGGCGATGGTTTTAGATTAGTGATCAACTTTTAGTGACCTCTCTTGAGGTCACTACATGATGAATGTGATTTTCAGTGTAGTGATATTATTTTTGTGACGAAATAAGTGATCAAAATTGTTGTAATTGAAGATTCTTGACATAGTGACCATGCAAAATAGGTTACTAATAGTTTGGCGTATTTGTGACCTAATCTTTTAGCGGGTTATCAAAGAGAATTTGTGAAGAGCTTTTAGTGACCACTCTTTATTGGTCAGAGTGAAATTAGCGACCAATTTACTTACTTTCAATGACCAACCAGGTCACTAAAGCCCTCTTTCCTTGTAGTGGCAAAATAATTTTTTTATTTACTTTTCAAATTTCATGTCACGCATGGTATATATAGAGATGCGAATTGCAATGAGGTTCAACAATGGTGTTATTCCAACAACAAAACTGGTATTATTTTCATAGACGCCAAGTGAATTAAGATGCATTTCTCGCAATTAATTTTTGTTGGATCATGTTTAGCAATTTTGATATGCTAATCTTTTGATATATCAAAATTCATGTTATTTTCATTGAAATATATATATATATATATATATATATATATATATGTAAAATTCATGTTAATATTTTGTGGCTGGTATTAATATGTCCAAATTAAGGCAATTAGTTTTTCCATCACCATATTCTAGTGGTATTTCTCTTTACTTGTAAATGAGAGGTTTTAGGTTTGATTTTTGCCAAAGACGAATTTGAACCACATTATTACTAACCCATTATAAGGCTTACCTCACTCCCTCACCCCTTAATGTAGATAATATTATTTGTTAAAAAAAAAAGGCAGTTAGTTTTCCTTTCCTGAATATTTTGGTGGTCCAACTTTCGTCTCATTACAGTAACCCTACATTTTAATACAACAAAACCTTATCTCATTAAGTGAGGATGGATGTATAAATCATAGAATACTATTGCGCTCATTTTCATGTCAAGTCTTTTGTCTTTTCTTAAAGTTTCTTTCCAAATCTTCCTAGGACTTCCTCTATTTCTTTTTCCCTGAGCATTTGCCTTATAAGCTCATTTTCTAACCAAAACATATGTAGGTCTTCGGTTCACATGTCCAACCACCTTAACCGATTTTGACTCATTTAATTCTCAATTGCAGCCACTCCTACTGACACACCCCGATCTCGATGTCCGAAGGACAGTGAGATGGTCACGTGCTGGCTGACATCCGAGGGTGATGCAAGTCATTTAATGAATGTATATGCCGAGAACATGTGAAATATGCATATAAATTTTGTTCAAACTACATAATACAATATTCAAATGCAAACTTTACCAAACTAATATAATAATATCCAGTCGTCAATAAAATGACAGTGATAATGCATAACATGTTCAGAGCATACATTTAATTCAGAATACAAGCAGAAGGTGTAACAGAAACTGCTATTACAAGTGATGTAAAAATCAGAGAGGATGACACGATATCACTGGTAAGGGAATGCCTCGTAGCTCGGATCGTATGCCTCATTCCTATGTCATGAGGGAGCGCAAAACAAACATGAGTGGACCAAGTTGATAAATATATAATATTAAAACAGTTATTCAACAACGTACTAACCCCCAAAGTTTTATGACAACTCAATAACATAATAAGTTTTTCCGAAAACCCTAGCATGCCATAAAACCTTCGTAAAACGTATATCATATATAGTGTGCTAAATAGTGGTATCAGTTTTGACCGAAGGCATAGAGTGCTCTTCATTTGCCCGAAGGCATATAAGTATCAATCGTCTGTAGGCTCCTACAGCACCGACCCGAAGGTAAATATATATGTATTAATCGCCCGTAGGCTCCTACAACACCCACCCGAAGGCGTGTATATGTATCAATTGCATATAGGCTCCTACAGCACCCGTCCGAAGGCATATATAGTAACCACTACATAAGCACAAAAACATTGCATATAATCTTTCCAACATAAGCACATATATCTCAACGGAGCTCAGTAGCTCAAACATCATATCTCAAAACATCTTCATAGTATATAGTCATCCATTATATATACTACAAAAAACATAAAAATCGATAAAGTATGGTATTCCAAAATATTCTCAGTAAAGCATAATATTTCGTAAAGTGTAAATCTAATTTACTCATAACCGTTTCACAAAACGTAACCATTAAATCATGATTTTCATGTATGCATTTCTAACAGTAAAATCATGCATTTTAGAAGGGGTCCATTCACAGATACTTTGTTGTCGAAGAGCCGTGCGAAATAGGAAGAACGAAATCACCTCTAATAATCGCACCTAAGCACATTGTTGAGCCATATATTTTCATAGAGAAAATATATTAGCAAGTTTTATAAAAGATGGGGACATTTAAAAAAAATAGTCCAAAACATGGACTGACCATAAATAAGGTTCACATTATATATATCTTTTAAATATATATATATATATATATATATATATATATATATATTACATATATAAGGAGAGAAAAAAATCTCAACAACCGACAAACCAAAAAATAAAGTTCTTGTCTATCCAGAACTCTCCTAAGCTCCCACGTTCTCAACTCAGTAAGGTGATGGCCTTCCTCAACTTCCCCACACCCTGGGAAAGTAGAACACGTAAAAAAAAATGGAAGAGGTTAATGGAACTGCTCCTTGAGTCTATAAAAAGGGGAGGGCACACGAAAAAGAAATGGGAGGGCACACGAAAAAGGCAACAAGAGGGACAGACGCACAAGCAGCAACTGTCGAGGATCCCATTGCTCAGAGAGAGATGTACTGCAGCAAAGCCCTAACAGGCCAAGTAGGTCAAGAGCTCTGCTTCCAAGAAACCTAAACAAGTCGCTGCAAAAAAAGATCTTCTGGTGTCATCGTTTTGTCCAAGTAGCTACTTTGAAGCCATTTAAGATTACGCCCCATGAAAGGTAGCCACCGCAGTCAACCTCCGCAAAAATTTGAGCATGATGATCCAGGTGACAAGCTTATGGATTTGTACGGGCAATTGTTGCCATCTTTACTCATGAACCACAAGAATGAAGAGGCCACAGAAGAGTTCCTCTTGGGACAAAGCAGGCTACAAGCTAAAATACACTATATTGATTTGATTAATCCCAAGGCAGCGGATATGCCTCTAAAACTTACGAAACTGTTTCATGGCCAAGCATCTTATGGTAGCCAGGAGTTGCAGAAAATGGGACGATGCATATGAATGCATAGAAGGCTTGCTGGAAATAAATATTTCACTTCCTTTTGGTCACCCTAAATATGATGACAGTAGAAGGATTAATTGAAGGAAACTGAGATAACATAGGATTCTAAAAGTCTATTTAAAGGTCAAAATGAGGCTATCGTACACGGGACCCTAATCTCACAAAAACCATGTTTGAGATATAAAAAATAAAAAAAATAAAAAAATAAAAAAAGGGAATGAAGGCTAGTACAACTTTTGTCACGTTTGATCGACCTATGCATGGTTTAAGCCCACGAAAGGGGGATGGCTACTGCATGTATTGAGGAGGAAAATACTTGAAACCACATGGAAAAGTCATGCAAAGATGGAGTCCTAATTCACTAAGGATTTATAACACAAGGGAAGCTTTTCAATAAGCCAATGCAAGTTGATCTCGTGGGCCCACCATTTCCACCAAAATGGACTTGTAGGCTTGAGCACCCATTAAGTCAGGGGTCCAAAACATGCAACGTCAACCAAGCTAACCCGTTATCAAGTACAAATACAAATGGGTGACGAGGACGACGCGATAACTCCAAGCACGGTAGATGTGAACCATCTCAGAACCATCTTAAAGCACAAAGCTCGGTGGACTTACATCATGTCAAAATTCAAATGGCATGAAACCGTATCAAATCCTAAATGGCACGAAGCCATGACAAGTTTCAAATGGCACGAAACCACGACAAGTTTCAAATGACATGAAGCCGTGTTAAATTTCAAATGGCAGGAAGCCGTATCAAATATCAAATGGCACAAAGCTGCGTTCTGCTCCAATAGCTCAAAGTCCTCATCCGCACGAGCTAAAACTGCATAAGGCGTCAAAAGCTCCAATGGCACAAAGTCCTTGCCCGCACGAGCTGAAATTGCACAAGGCATCAAACACTCTAAGTGGCACAAAGTCTTTGCCTGCACAAGCTGAAACTGCATAAGGCATCAAACGCTCCAATGCCTTAAAGTCCCCGCCCGCACGAGCTAAAACGACACAAGGCATCAAATGCTCAAATGGCTCAAAGTTCTCGCTCGCACGAGCTAAAACTACACAATGCATCAAATGCTCTTTGCCTGCACAAGTTGAAACTTTACAAGGCATCAAACCCCAACAAATATATAAGGAACTACGAGTGACTTAATCCCTCAACCAGGGTACGTAGGCAATCTAGGGCTCGACCTAGGTGCAGTCGCAAAATAAAACAAACACCCAAATCCCCAAGTTACGATTTATTCATATTGGAATCAAAGGGTTTTCCTTTTTAAAGAAGGATTGTAATTAATAGACGCATAGTCTAGAATGGGTCGAACTGAAATTAATAAAACCTTATTCGAAAAATGAATGAGGGTGAAATTGTGACAAGTGAATTATTTGTTTACATATTGTGTACATTTTTTGCTCAAACACACATAAATGTACCAATTAATAAAACTCTACCATAACGATTGAATTTCGAAAAACGGACGTCATAAACATATTCAGGATGCCAAAAAATATAAGGGGGAACCTCAGGTACTCCCATACGCCCTCATGCACCACCGCAGCAAACGCCGACATGGGTCGTCAGAAAGTTGGCTAGAAAAGTCGTAGGCGCCGCCGTGGAACACATGCGCTGGCACCGGCACCGGTAGCCCTTCACGCGCGCCCATGAACAGGCGCACGTGTGGCATGGGTTTTTGGGATTCGATTGAGTTGGACCAGATCCGATTATGGGCTTGGGCTTGGTTCCTA